AACAGTTTTGGTTTAACAATATACATTTAGTCAGTTTTGTTTTGAAAGAAAATATTTGAAATTTTACCACTTGCCAAAGCGTCTGACCAATTCAAGTGAGCAGACTTTTTGGTTAAATGTTTTCCGCAAGCCTACCACAAATAAAAATTCGAGCCGAAATCCAAACAACAAAATACGTAGTTCACAAACAGAGTTTGTACACAGTAGAACTGAACATGAGGCTGCAGCAAGTTTACACCCTTAGAACCAAATGTGTGGTTCCCTTGTATCCTGGGTTCAAATCTCTTTTGGTACGTAGGATTATTCTTTAAATCGGAATATCCAAAGACTCATTCCGAATATCGAAGAGATTATGAACCAAAGGTTTAAAACTTTCACGGTTTATCAAAAAAAAAATTTACACCCTTAGCCCTAGCGACAATACCATTGTGCCACCACACGCGGGTCCTATGGGTTTCAATTTTATTCATTTTTTAAAATTAACACTATGCACAACATGTGAAATTTGGTGGTCTAGTTGCATCTTAACTGTTCTCGTAACGCAACTTTAAGGTGTGTATCAGTGTATGTGTGTGTGACTTTTAAAAAAAAAAAAAAAACTTAAAGGTGTGAGAAGATAGATTATTCGTTAGATACCCATTGCATTAGTTTAAAGCTTAAGTGAACAATAAGAACAAGAGCCTCTAATTACAATCCAGTTTAATTATTTAATATCAAGCGGATTGTATTATACAGCATCAATTCTAACTCCATTGCTCGGTCAAAATCAACCGGAGGTGACTTGGCCGGCAAGGTACCATTAGGGCTCCCTCGTGATCGAATCCGTACTCCTCCTCCGCCCGTTCTAGAAGCTTCCGGAACATCGGGTGTTCTAGAAACATCAATGGAGCAACAAATCTTTGTGTAGCCTCATGATATCCATCAACGGCTATCACTGCGAAATGGCCTTCCTTCACGTCTTTGGGTACACAATCCCGACCGTATTCTTCGGAATACGGTTTCTTGGCTGATGAAAAGCCTTTGATTTGCACCAACCTCTCTACAACATTCTTTAGCTTCACAATTCCACCCATTTTCTTCTTTGACTGCTCAGCTTTGATCATTCTTTGCCTGGCCATGATAACAGATTAGGCTTTCTTTTCTTTTTTTTATCGGATTTTCGGGTTTCTTGAACAAAGATATGTTCGAGTATAGACATGTATGGGGGAGTATATATAAGGAGTAACGGTAC